TGAATGAAGGCTCAAATAGCGACTGGAATTTTGAAAAAATGAACAAATACAAGGATAAGTATATGAATTTTGAGTGAATGAATGAAACAATGAACAAAAGAAAGAGTAAAACTGTACATCATTGTAAGTTATTGAAATATTTCGAGTTTCTGTCCTACGTTTTTTAAAGAAATGCAGGAACATATGAATAAATAAATATATTAATTGGTATTGAAATGAGTGATTGGTTTCAAATGAAAAAAAAGTAGAAATGAGAGGATGAATAAAAGCAAAAAACTGACCTGTCCATATCTCTGAGCGTACATTCCAGTCAGCAAGGAATGAAATACTATAATGGTTTCATCTAAATCCCAAATAAACACGCGTTCTAGGTCTGATTCGGGGCCAGGGGACGGTTGCGCTCGGGTTCGGCCTCGTGCTGATCTCCCACCCCGATTTCCTGAAAAATAAAATTAAAATGGAATTACACTTTTGATAATGTTATCTATTTATTTTTTGGGGGATAATGGGGGATGATAGGGATTGTGACAAGTTTTTGAAAATGATCAATTTTTGGAAATTTGTTGAGGGGGTTGAGAAGAAAAGGATAAGTTTGGGGTAGGGGGTGAGGGATGAAAGAGCTATGAATCTGATAGAGAAATCAATATAACCAGGTAGAGAAGAGGAAGGGGATAGCTAGAAGAGGTTAACCTTAACCAATAAAGTGATTTTAAAATAGGGATGTACTAAGAAATTTTGTAGAATTGGTTAGTAGGATAGACACAAACTGACCCTTTTAGATATTTCTATTCCAGGGTGAAAAGCTGGAAGATTTTAAATACATTTGTCAAGATGGAGGGGCATATTATGTCGAAGGGTTAATTAACTTACTTTTACCTATTTTTAAAGGGGGAGGATGGGAGGGTTTGCTATATTACTAGTAGGGGTAGGGAAGGGCTTGCTATATTACTAGTAGGGACAGGGAAGGGCTTGCTATATTACTAGGAGGGGTAGGTAAGGGCTTGTTATATTACTATGAGGGGTAGGGAAGGGCTTGCTATATTACTAGGAGGGGTAGGGAAGGGCTTGCTATATTACTAGTAGGGACAGGGAAGGGCTTGCTATATTACTAGGAGGGACAGGGAATGGCTTGTTATACAACTGTGAAGGAAGGAAGGGAGGGGACGTGCTGAAGGTGTATATAAACTTACTTGATGTACATGTACCTTTGTCTAGGGGAGGAGAAGGGCTTGCTATATGATGACTGTTAAATTGTTGCTGTTGCTGTTCATTTGAATCTGAAAATATTAAAATATCCATGTAAGCAATGGTGGAGGATTCAATCTTCAATAATATATTGACAACCTGGGTTGATTAGTTTCAATGTGCAAGTCTATGTTTTGAAACATACCCTTAGCCCGGTTCCACAAAATCTCTTATAAGAATTTGTCATAGAATTTACTTTGAGAAATACCATAGTTACCACAAAATTGATTTATTGTGGAATGGGACCCTAAATTGCACATATATTTACTGAATTTAACCCAAAAGTCACGTAGATGAAATACCAACTTGCTACTATTACTGCAATGACACATAAAAATTTCAGCATTCACAAACCAATTTTGAACGTGGGGCTAGCAAACAGGGGTGATGACAACAAAGGTCCACATGAAATTAAGAGTGAAAAAAAAATTCCCTAGGGTGGTACTTACTAGATTCTGTGGTGGGTGGGGATATTTGATAAGTCTGTGAAGGCACTGTAGATGATGTAGTAACCGAGGGGGTGGTAAGGTAGGGGTATTGTGGGTAAAATCCCGAGGCAGCAGCCGCAGCGGCTGGATAATTCTGAAATAACGAACTCATCTGATCCTGAAATAAAAATTCAAACTTTTTATTTCATAAAAAAAAAAATCGAGGTACCATTATTAAGTTTTTTTGGGGTTTGCTTGGAATAGATCAAAATTTCTGTCATATTTCTTACATTATGGTTTCAAAGCTAAACACGTTATGATGTTAAGAGACAACAATTGTTATGGATACAGACTTCTATTCCTTTGAACAAATACAATAGAAGTCTTTTTCTATTTCCATAACAATTGTTGTCTCTTAATGAGCAGGGATACTTCTAAATGTCTTACACGGATTATGTTCTGATGTGATTTTTAACACCCTGAACCCATAATGATTAACTTGGTTGTATATTTACAAATACAGTTTAAGGGACACTATCACCAGTAATTGTGAAGTTTCAGTCAGACATGTCTGGTGAATAATATAAATCTTCACATTTTCAATAAGTTGTCTTTAAAATTTAAAAAAAAAAGAAACTGACCATATTTTTTTATTATTTCTTTTTACTATCACTATTCATATTTTTAGAATTTTTTAAATTCTAGTTTGAAATTTGCACTTGTTTCTAAAATTTTAGCTTTTTGCCTTTAGAATTTTATCAGAATTTTGCGTTTGTTTTTAAATTCTAGTTTGAATTTTGTGTTTTGTTTTTAAGATTCAGAGTAAGATATATGTTTTGTCTCTGTAATATTTAATGGAAGAGTTGAGGTTGATTATTTGAAATGGACTTGAAACGTAGGAAATGTAGTTATTTTAAACATGAAGTTGGCGTAATTTGATATGCGAACATGGCGGCCATATTTGATTATCTGACATTAGATGGGTGATTTATGATGACATACATTATTAAGGTTGTCGCTAGTAACAATAGGCCTAACACAACGCAGCGTTTCGCTTCATGTCATCCATTGTATCTCTAGTCATAGTCTCATTTTTAATCCTATTAATTTTGATAAACTTTGTCATTTTAAATAAACTATGAACATTGTTTGGAAGGAAATATTTCTATTCAATATCAAGTTTTTGTGGTCAATTTGAGTAATTGATAAATTTTATGAATTTATGATTTTTTTTCCTCCATATTTGAAGAATTTTAGTCTTATTTCTTGGAATTTGCTGTTTTCCTTGTGACTATATTTTGATACAAATTTTCAGTAACCATGAAACCAATCTATTAGATCAAGTTTGTCAACAATTGAGCATTTGAAGGTGAAAAAGAATAATGAAATCTTTGATAGCTATTTTAAAACTACGACAGT